GCTGATTGATTGGATGGGAAGTGAATAGCAAGCACTGTTCACCTCCGAGCAGCCGAAGAGACAAAATCGCGCTTCAACAAATTACCTTGAGACCAATACATTTTTTTTTTTGGTGTATTGACAAAAAAAAATTGTTTTGGTTTCTGTGTGGTATATACTAAAACAATTATTCTCCACCAATTCACCTTCACCTCGGTGTGTAATTGTTAAATACCCGATTCCCCCTTTTGTGAAAAGCTGAAGAGTTCATTTGCTAAGTTGCTATCTGTAAAAAATTTTAGAAGTGCACCTCGGTCTTTCCTCTACTCTCCGTCATTCTTCCTGAGAGACTGGACCCATCAAAGACCTAGTCAGCGCTCTAGAGAGCAGAATAGAAATAGAAAACAATTCCTTCTCTCAGATCGGAGTAAAGCTGTGGAATAAGATACCAAGCTGTGTAACGGATCTTCCAAAGAAAGCTCTCAAAAGAGTCCTTCGCAAATTGCTATTTGATATCCTAGAAAAAAAAGGATAACTATATTCAAATCCGGCCATGATCATTAAAAAAGTAGGTACATACACCTTCTAAGTTTAAATGTCTTCATATCTTTTTCTGTGTGACTCTGTGACAGTGTGCTGCAACGACTCCTTGTCCTTAGATACTAGACGATTTATGTTATACAGGTACTTGTCTTGCCCCGCAACGAATAGCTTTCTAGCTATTTGCGGGGCAAATTATCCCACTTTTATTTTATGTAAGAAGACCAAAGAATAAAATTATTGTCGTTGTTTGTTGTTGAATTAGAAGGAAAATAGAATTTATGAACGAGGTTTACAGGCTGCTGGTGAAAGAGAGGACGTTTGGAGTGAAACGAAATAACAACAAGAAAAGACAAAAACCAAAAACCAAAACCAAAACAAAAAAAAAAACAAAAATAAAAAACAAAAACAACAAAAACAGACGGACAAAGAAAAGTAGAACAAGGTAGAAATGAGAACTAGGATCCAGACCTTGGGTAGCTGCTTTAATTTTTTCTAGATTTTATCCTTAAGACTTCGCCATTTAATGAAAGTACTTTTGTGGGAAAACTTAGTGAAGCGATATTTAGTCTTTGGTATAAAACTATCTTTTATCAGCAGTCTCAAAGTGTATTCAGTTTGTAATCTTCACATGATGAAAAGATATCCATACCTTAACCCGCATGCATTTTTACGGCTATTGTTTAAATACTGGCTTGAAAACTGATGATAGTTGTTAAAAAATTATGTAATTGTGCTCGTTAATTATCCATTTTGGAAGCTATTCATGGCCTGGATTAAACAGAGTGGTGATGTCATAACTCGCTCATTTGTGAATTATCAATGAAGATCATCAAAAGCGAAGTTTAACCTTTGTTTTTCATTATTTATAAGATCATATCAGACATCAGCAGACGCTGAGTACAGGGGAAAATTTTGTGTGCAAATTTATGATTGTCTTCAAATCCTAACTTGCTTCACAGTTTATTGGTGGACCAATAATGTTGGTCAAAAACTGGATATTATTGATAGTTAAACCCAAAAAGACCCAGACAAGCTAATTGTAATCAGTTTTGACCAAATTGTTTTAATTGCTTTCCCTTCTTTAAGCTACATCAATATATTTTAGCTCACTTTGAGCGTTACTTTAAGATCATGTGTAGGAGAGTTCAGCGATTCCCTTGTCACTGCACCAAGATATATCCCATGGCTTTGACGTGTTTTTCTCCGTTGTCTGATGTATAACCTTTTATTGCATAATTTCCACATGTGATTTTGTCATCAGTGCTTCCTCCCGTTCCAAAGCCGATTCTGGAATCAGTGGATGCACAGTCTTTTTCATTATTTCCAATAATACCAATTCTTGCTCTGGAAGAGCGTCTACTACTTCCCACCGCATTGAAGCCTTCCTTGTTACAGTTGGCCTGTAAGGAGGATTGTGAACCAATCAACTTCTTCCACTTGCTGCGACCCAACGAGGTGGCGCGGTATTTTCCATCAGCGAGCAGCGAGTAGAGAGAGCTGGACTGCTTGTTGATCACAATGAACTTAAGCTGTTGGTTTATTTTCAT